GTCCAGTGAGAAGTCTCAATAACCTGAGGTGAGTTGATGGAAAGCTGCCCTTGAGAATTCCCCTCATACCATGGTAAGGGCAGGAGCTCGCTACCCAAAACTGAATCGTTAAATCTAACCATGGAGAAATTTGGATAAGAAGGAAAAGATTTGCTGAGAGTAAGAGATTGCATGGGTTCAGCTTTGTCGTCTGCGTCTTCTTCACCTTGGTCTGATTCTTCAGAGCTGCACCTGTTATCGTGTATCTGATGATTTGTAACGCCCTTTTGAGAAGGCATAACTGGGGCTTTTAAGAGCTGTTGGGGTTAGGCCGGCCCAATTGCTCTCCATTCCATCAGCTTCTTCTTTTTAATAAAAGAATTGGGCCTCTTTCCCTTCCTTTCCTTTGAGTAATAGTGGTGGTCCATTAGTAAAGGAAAATTGACCTGATTGTTTACTTTAGAATGGACCGAAGAATGGCCCAGCCCGAGAATTGGATTCAAAATTTAAATCAACTAGCGTGGATTTCACAGCGTATAACTCTTTGGACCTTTGGTCTCTCATGTGAGACCTTCTGCCCTTTCCATCTCCGGCTATCTTGACATGCCCATCGAAAATAATTGAGATTTCAAACATCATATCACCCACAGCCAAATCAATCTTGCAAGGAGGTTCTGAATCTGAATCCTTGATGCATATGCGAGCCCAGAGGAGATTAGTCTTTTTCTTCGTATCTTCGTCGGAGTCTATATAGCCACCGCATTCATCGCCGATGAACCTTAGGGTTTTCTCAGACCACTCATGCAATGGGATACCAAAAACCCTAATCCATCGATGACCTGACATTTGCTCTGAAATTTTAAGATTCAAAGCAGGCGACCACCAATCTAAAGAGAGGTCTGCCATTCCAAAACCAATCACCAAACTTGACCCTCTCCGCCTCCTTCGAAGACGGAAGTTCAAAAAGAAAAAGATTGTGAGCAAGAGAAGAAACTCTCAGACGAGCCGTCACTGACCATCTGCTTGTTTTACAAGAATAATAGAGCTGGCCATTTTAGATTCAGAGGTGTGGGTTGGATACCATAAATGTATTGAGAAGTTGGTCCCCGATGCAGCGATGGTAGATCAAATAGGGGAGGAATTTGGTAAGTACACACAAGCAGATGGCCTATTTGGTTTAGAGGCGGCTATTAGAGCCAGAGACCTATGTTGCTTGGACTCTCCAAAAATGTGGACGGATACGTGTCGGATCCTCCAAAAGTAGTCCATTTTTTAAGGATCCGACTCGGGTGCGGCTACACTTTGGAGAGTCCGCGCAACATAGACAGAGACATAAGGTCACCAGGTAACTAACTCTAATATAGATGTTCTTATAGCTTTAATTTAATTTATTTGATTTATTTATACTTATTAAATAAATATAGATGTCCTTATAGCTGGTTACAATCTCATTTGCTCTCAAAATGGGATATTACAGAATTGACCTTGTAAGCACATATGGAAGACTAGACTGCCTACTAAGGAAATATGTTTCACATGGACAGCACTGAAAGGGGCATGTCTCACTTAGTATAATCTTATCAGGTGAAACATTATATTAGTTAACGGATGCTACATGTGTCTCCATAACGCAGAGAGCATAAACCACCTATTCCTTCATTGTCCAGTTGCAGCTGACTTATGGAATTTCTTTTATTCTATCTTTGGATTATCCTGGGTCACCCCTCAGTCAGTCAAGGAAGCCTACGATAGCTGGTTTTTGTGGAAAGTTGATAAGATCAAAGTTGTCCTTAAAACTAGATCAAAGTAAAAATTTTAACAATTCGAAACTATCATTTAAATGACAATATTTCAGTAGTAAGAGCATATCCAACAGTGGGGAAGGGTGGTTGAAACGAGGGTGCGGATGACAGTGTCTATATCCGATAACCTGTTTGGGTTCATGCCGGGTCGTTCAACTACAGAAGCTATACACCTTGTTAGGAAGTTGGTGGAACGGTACAGAGAGAGGAAGAAGGATCTGCACATGGTATTTATTGACCTTCAGAAAGCGTATGACAAGGTTCCTAGAGAAGTTCTCTGGAGATTCTTGGAGGCAAAAGGTGTGTCAGTTCCCTACATTATGGCAATTAAGGACATGTATGATGGGGCTAACACTTGGTTTAGGACAGTAGGAGCCGACTCTGAGCATTTTCCGCTTGTAATGGGGTTACACCAAGGTTCTGCGCTCAGTCCGTTCTTATTTGCCCTGGTGATGGACGCGCTAACACACCATATTCAAGGGGAGGTGTCATGGTGCATGTTATTCGCCGATGATATAGTTCTTATTGATGAGTCGCGAGCCGGTATCAACGATAGGCTGGAGTTGGAGACAGACTCTTGAGTCTAAGGGTTTCAAGTTGAGCAGGACGAAGACGGAATACCTGGAATGTAAGTTCAGCGCTGAGCTGGTGGAAGTTGGCATGGATGTGACGCTTGAATCACAGGTTATCCCAAATAGAGGCAGCTTCAAGTACCTTGGGTCGATTATCTAGGGGGGAGGGGAGATCGACGAGGATGTCGCACACCGTATTGGGATAGGATGGATGAGTGGAGGCTAGCATCTGGAGTCTTGTGTGATAAGAGAGTCCCACCGATACTCAAATGGAAGTTCTACAAAGCGGTGGTTAGACCGGCCATGATGTATGGGGCTGAGTGTTGGTCTGTTAAGAACTCACATATCCAGAAGATGAAAGTAGCAGAAATGAGGATGTTGAGGTGGATGTGTGGGTATACTAGGATGGATAAGATTAGGAATGATGTTATTCGGGAGAAGGTGCACGTAGCCCCCATTGATGCCAAGATGCGGGAATCGAGGCTAAGATGGTCCGGGCATGTTAAGAGGAGAAGCCCAGATGCTCCGGTAAGGAGGTGTGAACGGGCTGGTTGTGGAGGGCACGAGAAGAGGTAGAGGGCGACCTAAGAAATATTGGGGTGAGGTGATCAGGCAGGATATGGCGAGGCTTCGGATTTCCGAGGACATGACACTTGATAGGAAGATGTGGAGGTCGAGTATTAGGGTTGTAGGTTAGGAGGTAGTTGAGTCTTGCCTTACTTTGCACCTTTGTAAAGCTAAGTCTGGTAGAGTTTTTTGTCTAAGATAGTTAGTGGCAATGTTGTGTCTTACTATTTCGCTTTTCAATGCAGGACCTTTTGATTAGCTTTCGCTTGTGCTTTGCATCTTTCTTCTAGATTTCATATTGTTCCTATTTTTCCTACAATTTCTGTGGTGATACTAATATTGTCTCATTTTTGTCTTTTTGTTTTCTTGAGCCGAGGGTCTTCCGGAAATAGCCTCTCTACTCCTTTTGGGTAGAGGTAAGGTCTGCGTACACACTACCCTCCCCAGACCCCACTAGTGGGATTTTACTGGGTTGTAGTTGTTGTTGTTGTTCCTAAAAAATTATTTTCTTGAATTTTTCATTGCTAGCTTCTTTAATAGTGACACCACTTAAGAAAAATTACGCGTACGCCACTGTCTCCGACGAAAGGTGGGAGTGGCCCCGTGGAGGACAAGATGCGGGGGGCTAGGCTAAGATGGTTCGGGCATGTGAAGAGGAGAAGAAGCGACGCCCCAGTAACGAGGTGTGAGAGGTAGACCTTGGTGGATATGAGGAGAGGTAGAGGTAGAGGTAGGCCAAAGAATTATTGGGGACAAGTGATTAGGCAGGACATGGCGCTGCTTCAGCTTACCGAGGACATGACCTTTGATAGGAGGGTGTGGAGGTCGAGGATTAGGGTAGAAGGTTAGTATGTAGTTAAAGGATTTTCTTTTTCTTTTCCATACTAGGAGTATTAGTGTTACTCTGGTATTTTTCTTATCCCTAGATTGCTTTTACTACTACTACCTGCTGTTTTATTTTTATCTTTCGCTTCGGTTTCTTAGTATATCTTGTTGTTGTTACTACTTGTTGCTACTGCTTCTTTTCATCGTCCATTGAGCCGACAATCTATCATAAACAACCTCTCTACTTCCACATGGTAGGGGTAAGGTCAGAGGCGGACCCAGGATTTTACCCAAGCGGGGTCAAAAAAATACTAAAGCCCCATAAGCAATCAACATTAGAGATTATTGTCTTTTATTAGTTCTCATAATACCCCTGAAAATTTTCATTTTGAGGTGGTATTATATTTTATTTTTAAAATAGTCACTAAAAACATCATTTTCTATAGTTTATATAAAACAGAAAAAATTCCTTTTAAGTCTTCAATTTTTTATTTGTGTGCTTACTCTTAGAGTTAATAACAATAAAAATATAGAAATTTGAAACAAAATAAACATACAATTTACTAAAAGAATAAATAATTAAATAAAAAGCAAGCAAATCACGTATCCAAAAGGAGGGCACACAACTATATAAATTGCCGAACTGTTAACCTATAGTATAAAACAAGTAAATACAAAAATTTACCCGTACATGTAACTTTTAGAAGTTATTATTTAACAATAAATATAACCTTAATTATTATAAATATTTCAATAGTAGATCTCAAAAATAATAAATGAAATAAAATTAATAAACTAAAATACTACATTCACAATAGAGAAGTCTGGTACGCTTACAAGGATCTAGGAGTTATCTAAGATATGCATTCATGGCTTTAGAAAAACTAATAGTAAAACAAATAGTGTCCTCGGGGTTCGATCTCAACTCTCCTGGAAACAAATAACCCTGATATACCACTAGGCCACAGCATTAGTGCTTTCTCAAGTGGATTCATTTTTATTATATCATCCAATTCTATATAAGATTTATACATATAAACACCAAAAAAAATTGACGAAGCGGGTTCAGTTGAACCCTCTTGAATAACGTGGGTCCGCCCCTGGGTAAGGTCTGTGTACACGCTACCCTCCCCATACCCCACTTGTGGGATTTCACTGGTGTTGTTGTCGTTGTTCTCCAAACAAAGAGAAAGCAAGTTAAACCTCTATCATTAACTGCATCCAAGATAGGCATGTTGTCAACAAGAGAACTAACCAGTTCATAATTACTTTGCTTAGTAATTCCAGTAGCATTTAGGTCGGCATTAATTCTCAGACCATAAGCAAAGTCTTTTAGAGGGCCAACATTGATCAGGGAATCCCTCACTGCAAATGAGAATGCCTTCTGCAATCACCGAAAATCATGTAAATGATGAGGAATGACAGAGGATGATATTAATGATAGAGGCGAAAATAAAATAGCCAAGAAGCCATTCTGTAATCATAAATCGTGATAAATAGCAAAAGTTCCAAGTAAGGAATTATAAAGTTTTCTAGACAACTTATTACTCTCCCAATTTTACATGTGTGCTTCAATATTCTGTGAGTCTAGGGCGTCATGATCTTTTTCTAGTAAGTAGTAGGGTGTCGTATGATTAATAGACATGATAGTATACCGGAAAAAAAAATTAAAAAAATAAAATAAGTGCACACATTAAGCAAATTCTGCAAGGTGGCGACAAACATGAAAAGGAACAAGTCATCCAGAAACTATGAAATACTGGGTACACAAACATGACTTGACAACAGCTTTATGAAACTTCAGTGTGCTATATCCTCAAAACAAAATATTTACATAATGATATATTGAAACATTACAAAGTTCCATCAACCAGTGTTGTTAAGTACTCGATTAAAGCATGCCCTGAAGCTCAGTAAAGCCCAGGTTGTGCTTCGCCTTGCCTATTTGCCGCTTTAGTGTAGGCATCCAAGTCCTAAGGTGTGTGCATCTTCGCCAATGGATTTTGTCTTTAGATCACATCACTAGATAATAAACACAGTTGACAAAGTGATACATTTGTGGTCAAGAAAACGTAATGACTTGTATTTTAGCGATTAAGAATAATAAATTAGAAATTTAGTATAAGAAAACTAGCCAGTAAAACTCTAAAACTACATCTTTTCATCTAAATCAAAATTTTAAATGGTCTTTGGACTTGATTGACATGATTTTACATATATATATATATATATATATATATATATATATATATATATATATAAAGCTCGTTTTTTCATTTTTTTTATAAGGAAATATTTTACATTCTTTTTCCACATAATTATTCTTTTTTATTATGATTACATTTTCTTGCATTACATTTCTACTTTTGAACTTTTTGCCATTGGGGTTTCCTTCGCAAAAAACCCACACTACTTCAATCGCGCTTTGCGCTAAAAGCTCCAGACTCTAGCACTTTTTGCGTTTCTTGCTTTGACTACTCTGCCATCAACTCATAACTTGCTTCGGAACACGTCTCTCGTTGCTTTTATTTTTTAACTTATCTATCCTTACCAAAATACTAAATGCTACACCTAAGTCCAAAAATACATTTGATATAAACAGCAGATGTCCTTGTCATTTTACTAATTATTCCCAATTAAACTCATATAGCAAAGTGGAAATAACCTCTTGCAGAAAAGCAAGGTGAGGTTGCGTACAATAGACCCAATGTGGTCTGGTTCTTCTTCCAGATCCCCCACATAGCGGGAACTTAGTGCACCGGCCAGCCTATCTTTTTAAAATCATATATCATAACAGAATATAGTCTTCGCAGAACACAATTCACCTGTGCTGATTGTGCATTATTTGGAGCAGTACCATATAAGGAAAGCTCTTCGCCATTAATCATATCTTGCAATGCATCCGAGGATGACCTTCTTAGCCTCTTCGCAGAAGGAGTATCACTTTCAATATCTCCAACCTGCACATGTAAGCAAATAGCAATAGGATTTTAGAGAAAGCAAAGCCAGTACCCTTAGAAAGAGAGGCAGAAAGGCGAGTAACACATAGAACCACTAAGCATTATTAAACGACTAGAAATTGTGAAACACCCAATGAATGTGCATCATCTCAAAAGTAATTTTTAATCTATTCATATCAAGTACAAATTAATTTTACGGAAAAAAAATTTAAGTAGTAAGTTTGAAGGAAAAATAAAAATAAAAAACAGGAAAGAGTGTGCAAAAAACTAGGGACTGCAGTATACTGATGAGCCTACAATTTTTATGATGGCAGAGGGATCGTGGGCACAATCTGGGGTACAGCCATTCAGGGAAAAACAAGCAATGGAGGCAGTTACTCTAAGGGGTATATATTATAAGGTTATAGATTACGGAGAAACAGAGTACATATAAATAAGGAATACGCAGAAGAAAAAAATAAACTGTAAAATACCAGCAAAAAGATCAAGCTACTTCAGCTAAAATCATGACACAAACCTCTTCCTGCACCCCAGGAGGCAAAATTGACCCTCCCAGACCACAAGTAAACTGCACGAGCAAACTATCTCCTAGGCGACTGCCCAAAAAGAATAATGAGTCTCCAATTGTTGTAATTCCCTGGAAATAAGAGAAAACCGTTTGAATTGCACAACCACACACAGAGCAAGACATACACATACATACATACATATATATATAGATCCATAAATTAAAATGATCCAGAATTCAAGAGGTAGCCAACCGATGTAAGTACTGAAGCTCTTGATTTTGAAAGGTCGAGCTTTTGAACAATTCTGCAGAAACGTTAAAATAAAATTAAAATCGCAGCCCATCTCTCAAACTCTTGGTAATAGCTAATCAAAGGCTGTAAAATGTCGCAAAGCAGGAAATTTCTACACTCCTGGTGATAGGTAAAAACAAACTGTATACATTCAACCAAATTACCATTGATTCAATGCATCAGGACATGAGCAAAAAAAAAGATTCAATGTATCAGGACAAGAGAGAAAATTTTCTCAACTCTCAAGTCAACATACGAATATATTCTCAAAAAACAAAAAAGAAGATACTACAGCAACGAATAAATTTCTCCTTCATAAATTAGTGGGCAAAAAGGCATTACCTCCCATCATACATAATTGTCAGAAGAAGTAGCTCCCCTGTTTTTGTTGACAGCATTGCCACATCATTTGCTAACCAAGTTGCATTAGCTGCATCTAACTCCACAGTAAAAGATGATCTTGGCATATCTTGACTGGAAGTAACCACAAGGACGTATCACAAAATTAGATAAAAACCTGGGACCCATTCTGTAAGAACTGATCAAATCAACAAAGTGCCTCGAAATGAGTAATCAGGGGAGTGGATCAACGCACAATGACTAAAGAAAAGGTAAAGGAGCATGAAAAATGGCACACTTATGATAGAGTACAAATAAAACCATATCAAGTGTGAAGGAAAGTTGTAAGTCAGAAAAAAGCAAGCTCATAAAATAAAACTAAAAGGGTAGCATTCACGACAGCCAGCACAAAGGAAACAAGTCTAATTCATTTAAGAATCCAAAGATTAAATCAATTCTGATAAAGACTAACGCTGAGAACTAGTCCTGTGCAGCAAATAAAAGCAAACAGCCACCATTTTCAAGACTATTGTATCCGTTAGTCCCACTTTTGTTGCGGAAATGGGTTGCAGTTTCCTTAAATAGTCTTGGGCGATCATCGCCTCAAGAGCTAGCTTTTGAGGTTGAGTTAGGCCCTAGGTCCATTTTTTTAAATGTTATCAGAGTTGACCACTATGATATGTTGTCCACGCTCCAGATGTCTAATTTGAGCGTGCACCGTACGGGGATGTTACAGACTTAAGAGTCTCACAATAGTTGATAGTATAGGTTGTTGTTTCTTTGTATAGTCTTGTGCAACCTGGGTTGAGTTTTTCTAAGGTCCATTTTCTTAAAAATCTCAAATGTTAAATGTACTTCTAGCGGATAGAAAGAGAAAACTTTTTCTTTCTCAATATTCAAGTAGAAACAAAATATGCCATGTTATGTTATTGACCATTATTTATGATCCTAATAAATTGAAGTGAAGCTGGAAGTAGTTATAAACTTATAATTTTAGAATAGAGCGAAGCTGCAGGAATTGGTGAGGGAGAGTGCAAGGACAGTAAAAACTAAGGGAAAAACCTGCTATCACCAAAGAAGGCAAAATTGTTCAACGCCAACGAACAAGAAGATGACTGCAAAATACGCAGATCAAAGTCAGCACATGAAAATATAGTATGCAGGAAAGCTGTAAGAATATGTTGAAGGAATAAGCAGATTGTGAATCTCATGAAGATACCAGACCTGGCTGTGATAATGGATTGAGTTCGCACCAATAACAAGTACTCCACCAATAGGAGATGGCACAGCAAGAAGTTTATATGCATCATGAGGGAGATCCTGGGGGAAAAAAAATAAAGTGAAGTCTAATGTAGGAAATATATAATTAAATGGAGTAAGGTTCAAGCAGATTTTGACACTGTAATATCCATAATAAGCATCCCAAATTCATGAAATGAGAAGTTACAATGAATGTCCATCTTAGTGACACAGTTCGGCACTGGTTTAATAGACGAGAAGAACACAAGAGGAAAAATAAAAGGAAAATGGAAAACGAAAAAGGATTAAAAAAACTAAGAGATAACACCGTAGACATCAAAATTTTATCAAATCAAATCCATATGAATTTGGGCAAAATCATAAATTTAAGATACTACAAGTAGAGTCCATCGAGGTTTCTTGGAGGCTACTCTATCTGAAACCCTAACTTGGAGGCTACTCTACCTGAAACCCTAGCTTGGAGGGTACTCTACCCAAAAACCCTAATTCATGCCTATAAATAAGGCTACATATGTCCTTCAAAGACGATCTCAGCAATTCCATAACTCTCGGAATATGCATAGAGAGATCAAATATGAGATCTCAAAATTCCATGAAACTCTTGGAATATTCATTAAGAGATCAAAGACATGTCAAATATGTCTTGCTTAAAGTCCTACGTTCGAGAAATACGCCGCTAAGGCCCTCGAATCACATAGAATAAATCGAAGGGAAGAATCAAGGGATAAACAGAATTGTAACCTGCAATGTTTATCAATAAAATTCTTTTCTTTATAGTTGTTTGTGATTGCAGTTTTATTTTTCTGCACAAATTTATTGCAAACAAACACGACATTTAACTCTCAGCCTAAGATGTTAAGAAAACTAACAGCAGGCTGAAGCTTCTTACCGAAATGAAACAGCCGGTTCATTGTTCTACATTTTATTAAGTTCCAAAATAAAACGGCCACAAATTCTGTTAAAGAGGGAAGTAATTTACTAATTTGCACTATGCTCTATAAATATTTTTGTGAAATATCATGACATTTATTTGAATCATCATCCTTGAGTACCCAAGTGTCTACCAAATCAACTCTCTCTTTGATAAGATCAAATCACCTTTCCATTACCAAGTCCTAGTATGCAACATCTTGTTTTCCACACTGTAGCACCTTTATCTCAAAATTACCTTTTGCTAAGCAACATGGTTTTTACTTTTGTACTGCAGGAAACAAAAGTGATAAATCTTGCACCAGAGGAAACGACTAATCGGTGGCAACAACATCATAACTCTCAGGTTCAGATTGTTGGTAGAGGAAGATATTTTGAGGGAAGGAAATGTAAAGAGACTGAGGAAAAAAAAACAAAATAAAGGAGGAAGAATACAAACAAGGTCAAAAGAAGTACTATGGAGCTGAAGGCCATCATCAAGTGTATGTATAGAGGTACTTCTTAGAAATAGTGGAAGTAGACCCTTTTTAACTTTTAGCTGCCTTCCTTACCGAATTTCCACGGGCAAACCCAACACCGAAAAAGAAAGAAATCTGATACAGTTCTTTTTGTAATAACCGAAAAATCCCCAAGGGCTAGTGGAGTACGGTTTGAAACTCAGTGGATAATGGACCCACCCGTCTGCTGTCCACTTAAATACCAGGCTTTAAAACCTGATGCAGTTATCATCAGTAAATAGCTCATATAGAGTATTCTCCTTTCCCAGTTTTCTCTTTTCACTTTGCTTCAAGCTAATAAGAACATCTATAAAGAAAATGCTGGTAAAAATGGGTCACTGTAACTTACAACAGCTGACCATATCAGTGGATGCTGCTTCAATGTTGTACTAATACTAAAAGCAGAGACCATACAAGTATGATGTTTCCAAGAGATGCGCCCAGCCCAAGTAAGTTCCCTTTCATGAAGGATAACCATGACCGGCTCAATATAACCTGCATAAAGCCACATTACAAAGTTCAAACTGGCAACATGAGTAACTGCAGGTGGTAAAACAAAAGAAGAGCTTTAGACCTGAAGGACAACCGGAATCACCATTATCAAATAAATTAATTAGATAGGAAAATTATAAGATTATGAAAGAAATAGAAGTCAACCAATCTACTTGTAGCCAAATAGACGTCAACTGAATCAGTCGTTATTGTGAAGACGATCATCAAAGTCTTCTTTTTCTTTTTCCTTTTCTTTTTGGATAACCAAGAAATCTCCAAGGGCCAGTTGTTGCATTGATCGAAATTCGGGTCCCACCCCTCTACCCTCCTCCAATAAAATACTTAGCTTTTTGTTCGCGGTAGGGTTGGCACTCGTGATGTGCGTCTAATCCTGTGACGACCCGACCCGTCGTCACGTGAGTTACCGCCAGGTTTTCCTCATGTTATGCTTCTTTATGTTTCATTATCAGTATTTGATGTGTTAGAGTTGGTTTGGAATGGTTTTGAAAAGAAATGAGACACTTAGTCTCTTTTAAGAAGGCTTAAGTTGGAAAAGTCAACCGGATGTTGACTTTTGTGTTAGAGGGCTCGGATTTGAATTCCGGTGATTTGGTTAGCTTCGGGGGATGATTTGTGACTTAGGAGTGCGATCGGAATTGATTTTGAAGGTCCGGTGTAGAATTAGGCTTGAATCGGCGAAGTTAGTATTTTGACGAATTCCGGTTGATAGGTGAGATCTTGATCCGAGGGTCGGAATGGAATTCCGAGAGTTGCAGTAGCTTCGTTAGGTGACTTTGGATGTGTGTGCAAAATTTCAGGTCATTCGGAGGTGTTTTGGTTGGGTTTTTGATCGAATGCGTGTTTCGGAAGTTTTAGAAGAACTTAGGCTTGAATTCGATGAGAAATGATGGTTTTAGTGTTGTTTGAGGTGTTTTAGTGATTGGAACAGGTTTGAATAAGGTATTGGATCATGCTTGTATTTTTGGTTGAGGTCCCGAGGCCCTCGGGGTGATTTCGGATGGCTAACAGGAAGTTTTGAACTTAAGAGATTGCAGAACCTGTGCTGTTTCTGGTATTTTTGCTTCTGCGGAATTGGGACCGCAGAAGCGGTACCGCAGAAGCGAGAAAAGAGACGCAGAAGCGGCAGGGACCGCAGGTGCGGAACGGGTGACCGCATCTGCGGAGTCGCAGATGCGACAGGAGGACCGCAGATGCGGTATTTGAGTTCTTATGGGAATCCGCAGATGCGTTAGTTTTTCCGAAGAAGCGGGAGGCGCAGGAGCGGATATTAAACCGCAGAAGCGGATATGTCCGCAAATGCGGCCATGGAGCCGCAGATGCGGAAATAACTGGTCAGAATAGTTTTATTTCCCTTCGCGAATTTTTGAAAAGGTTTCATATTTTCACTTCGGACTTGGAGAATTTGGGCGAGTTGGAGGAGAGAAATCAAGGGATTTCATTGAGGTAAGAATTTCTAAGCCTAAAACACGATTTTATGGTGCAAACACATGAAATTAGATTGAAAACTCAAGGATTTAAGGTCAAAAATGGTGGTTTAGGGCTTGAAACCTAAGAGAACAAGAATGGGAATTTGAGGGGTCATTGGACTCCGATTTTGGTGTTCTTTATATGTATAGACTCGCGGCGAGATAAGGAATCCGGTGATGTTAATTTTATAATTTTTTGAGAAGTGGGCCCTGGGCTCGGGTTTTGCCAACTTCGTGATTTTCGATGTTTTTCGAGTCTTTTCGATTGGGTTACATTCCCTTAGCATATTGTGACATATTCGTTGTGGTTTTGGTCAGATTCGACGCGCGAAGAGGTGAATTTGAAAGGCAAGGGCATAGCAAGCTAGGACTTTGGCCGGCTTGAGGTTAGTAATAAATGTGAATGCTGTATTGAGGGTTTGAAACCCCGAATTTGCACAAAGTAGTGCTATGTGAGGTGACTTGCACGCCGGATAACAAGCGTGGGGTAGAGCACCGTCAGGGATTGTGACTTGGTCCGTCCCGCTTAATAAAATTGATACCTATTTGATTGTAAAATTGTAATATCCTTATAAAATTGGATTAATTGTCATAATTGGGCTTCGTGCCAACTACTTGAATCTTTCAGGGATTGTATTTAAATGGTTTCTTACCATATTTATAAATATTAAACTCAGTCCTGGTATTCAATACTGTGTTAGAAATCTCAGCCATTTTTCATAAATTAGAAATTAAGTTAATATTTTTAAATGAAGTTCGGGCTAAATATTTTTATACTATTGTATGATTTTTGGACTGAGTATGGGATCGGGCTGCACGCCGCAGCAGTATTAGAATGATATTGATATGAGGCCAAGGGCCTGTTTGATGCCACGAGATGGCTTATTATTGCGCTTGGGCCGTAAGGGGCCCCTCCCGGAGTCTGCACACCCCCAGTGAGCGCCGTCGACGTTAAATAAATGGAGCGGGCTGCACGGCCGCAGCGGGGTACTGGAGGTACCGGTTTATGTGTTGCATTGCATATTTAATTGTCATTTATTCTTATTCTGGTGTGACTTTATTATAATTGTTTTTAATATTCACTGTATCATGCCATTGGTTCACGTTGTTGTATTCATGGCTTTACTTTGTGTTTATTTAGGATTTCTTATCCTCAGACTTTATTTATATTTATTACTTTCTGAGTTGGAAGTACTCACAATACTCCCTGCACCTTGTGTGCAGATTCAGGTACACCGCAGGGTGAGTGAGGACTCGTGTTAGCTGAGCAGCGTTATCCGGGAGTATCAAGGTAGCTGCATGGCGTTCGCAGCTCTGATCCCTCCCATCTACCTTTATTATTTTATTCGTAATTTTTCCTAGTCGGATTTGTAATAGGTGGATAATCTGTTTTAGAGGCTCATGTTCGTGACATCAGATTCGGTGGGTTTTTTTTAGTATTTCATTTTGAGGTTTTCGAATGTTAGAGATCTTATCAAAACTTCCGTACTAAATTGGTATTGTGGTAGCGAACATTTAATTATTTACATAGGTTTTTTGGCTAAGGTTGTGTAAATGGTCGGGCTTGCCTAGCAATGTGTTGGGCGCCATCACGACCGGGGTTTGGGTCGTGACAAATCCACACATCATGAGCTGCGCTCTACCACTGAACAAAGCCCTGGGAACCATCAGAGTACATTTTCACAGCCAAGAAATATTAATCTATTACAGAAGATAACAAAAATGCTCGACCAGTTCTGATGTCTGTTAAGAAGTTACAATAGGTTATAACAAAGTTTACCCACGTACACTGAGCATCACCATTTACATAGGGGAAAACAGAACTCTAAGACTCTCTAATGTTCAACCCCAGTTTTATTCTTGCAATACCAGCGGAATAATGACTGTGTGATAGTGCTCTCTCCGCATTACTAAAAATCAATGGGGAAGGGGAAAAAGTTTAAAATGATACAGGAGGAACAGCTGGGGTATACCTACCATGAAGAAATATGAAATCTTTGACATGCCTCACATCAAGATCCCGTAAGGTGATGATATATGATGATTCGATGCGAGCTGAGGCACCTCCAGAACTAAAAGCACTGTCCTCACCAACTAAGCTAGAATTGATCTGAAATAAGTATACATCACTTGAAATTATAAGCAAATCATGATAATCCAAACCACATAGATGGAAAGAGTAGTAGTTCAGGCATATTGACCTAATCCTTTCGATTACACAAAGAGAACCACACCAACAGATTACGACACTTTAGCATGCTATTCACAATATTTTTTCTTTTTTTTATATCGGTGGTGTCCGGACCACCGAGCAGCCTATCTGATCCTCTAGCACAGGTTGCCAAGTAATCTTGCGCACCAATGCTAGAGCAGATGGGCTCATACGTGTGTGGCAGATTGTATTCAAACCTGGGATCTCCAAGTTGCCACTCCTATTCCTCAACCACTATGCCATTACCTTGGTGACTACTGTAGACACAATACTATAGATTCAGTCACTCCCATATCTCAAGGATATACAGATCATTGACCAAAGAAAAGCAACTATCACCAGATATATTTCTTTTTGACTTGATACTGTTCTCTGTTAGCCTGTGAAAATTAATCAGCTAAGTCATAAATAATATGAAAGCGAAGGCTTTTCATTCAATAAATAACCCTTTTCAAGCTTTGGCACATATTTTTTACTTATAGCAGGCTTAAAATGGTTAATGCCAAGAACTACCACAGAATTGTATAACTGTTGGAACAGAGGTAGAAAGAGGAGCAAGAGGACATTGTGGTGGAACACAATCCCAGCACGCATATGGTGGACTCCTTGGAAGAAAAGGAACATCAGTTGTTTCGAAGACGCAGCTAACTCAACTCAAGAGATCAACTTTAACCGCACATGTTTACTTTCTTTTTTATGTATAGAGGAATTTGTAAATAAAGCAGGAGCAATACTTTGCCTCTTAGTATCCTATAAGATTGGGAAGGATTTCTTATTTTGGTCTTCTGCTCACTAATAAATATTACAGCACCTCGTTAGTGGTAGCTTATAATACAATTACCTTCCTCTCAAATAAAATATAATATTAGTTTCAACAGTCCCTTCGTGAAATCAGATAAAATAATATCAAAGTACATAGTATAACAACTTTTATTCAAGTTTAAGCAGGGGGTTCTGCCTTCTAGCCTATACTGGTAAGTTATGAATAGGATAACAGGAAGAAGTCTGGCCAGCAATGTCTGACCGTAAATGGTTATAGAACGATTAGTCCAAAACAACTAGGGATTCAGAAGGATTAGTTGGGATAGATTCCAAAATATTAAGCAACCAACGTTCAGGTTAACTAAGAAAGGAAAAAAGGCAGCAAAAGAAAACCTCGGCAGCCTTGAGTATTATCATCTGTTGTTCGAAAGCAAAGACTCCAGCGCACCTCCCCTGCGGATCAACCTTGATAATCGGCCCTTTGTCAAATGATTCTCGTCCTCTTTTTAAATGAAACCAGTCTGGACCTTCAAAACAGTGCATTGAGCTGGAAGGAGAGAAAAAAGGGAAATTTCCAATGTAGTTTGTCAGTTACCATGCTTAAATGATAAAGAAACAGGAAGTAGCGGGCAATATACTTAATGTTAAGTGTGAAAGGTTTGAAAATTCATAGGGTAGAACGTATTAAGTTACAATTTTGATGAATTTTATAAGGTTATAAGTTTTCCAATAAAAAAGAGCAGAGACTCTAAGAGCAAGTATAACAGTGAACTCGAGTTATAGGTAGCAATATAAATAAATTTGCAGAAGCTTGGAATCTTCATTAAAGGGTCCAACAAGATTACACATCAATATGGAAATCGTGGAGCTCCAAGAGTCATTTAAAAACACAATAACAAGGGAGGTGCTTAAATCTAACAAAATTCACCACCTTGACATAGAACGTCAACAATAATTTTATTTTCCTTGTTCGTGTTTTTATATTCAATAGTTGTGGTGCCGGGCCAGCTTTGTGGCACCTCGATTGTTCCACTAGTACCTACAGCCTCTCTTTTTTTGGTTCTTTTGGCTCAACATCTCATTTTCCCCAGATGTTTTTGGGCTCACAAATGCATTAGTTGTGGTTTACCTAGTCCGTAGTCCATGTGTGGCGTCGTCGAACTCAAGAACAGACATTTTAGCATCTTCAAAAGATAAAATAATGGAATCTCTCCTTCTCCCACCATCAACTCCTCCTGCTGTTAACACTCCCATTGAATATATATTTCCATGCAGCCTACATATATTACACACAATAAAAAAAATTAACAATAAAAATATCTAAAAACGGTCTTGTTATATTTTTTTCAAACTGAAATACCTGTAATTGCAAACGAGCTCAAGTGAAGCAGCAGAAATACCGGCCATGAGGCCACCACGTTTCACTTCGGCGGTATCTCTGGAGGATGCTTGTTCAACCCTAACCAAGTAAATTTCAAGCACGTTTCCTGCCGAGACAACGAGGTTCGGTATAGGACCAAGTGGCTTGGTGGCTGGCCAATCGGAGTCGACGTCGGCTGTATGAATTTGCGGGGTGAAATCGGCGGCGGAGTGAGTGAAGAATCCGGCGGCGCAGTTCTCGATGCCGGTGGGGCAATGCATTGTCTTGCACGCCGCGAAACTCATCTTTGCAGCTTCTACGGCAGCGTTTCTTTGGCCAATTGAAGAACTGAGAGAGTAATTGAAGACTAGGGTTTTTGGCTTAAACCCGTGTTTTGAGTTTGGCGGGAGGATGAGCAGTGGACTGACAGTCCAGTGACCAGTGAAAAGTATGTGTAATTACCAATTTGATTTGCCGGACGGGAAGTCCGCTTCTTTGTCGATGTAATTTCCAACCGGGTGTGTGAAATCGTAATTTACCCACTCAATTTTACAACTTTAACAACACCAACAGTATTCACTATTCACCTTTTCTAAACGACCTGATTCTTTATTTTATTCTTCTAACAATATTTAGACATGAATTGGGTGATATTTGGAAAATAACATGCTATTTGAAGTTAGGTTGAAAAAAAAATATTTGAAAATTAAAGTTGCCATTGAAATTTGAATATGAAAACACAATTAAAGTTTTGTGAGTGGAAATTAAAAAAAAAAAACTCATAAACATGTTTGAAGTTGAAATAAGTGATCCATTTTATAAACAAAACTTTATTTATAATAATCTCCAATTATTATTTCAAACATTCGAAACGATATCTATGAACAAATAGATATGAGCAATTTCACTTTCAGCAAATTACATGGAGAAAAGAGAAAATGAGAAAAGATGGTTGGGATTCTCTATATTCAATTAGAAGTCTCAAACATAAATTTTTTTATAAAAAGCTTCTACTCCTTAATGAACTTAATTATTCTGTGTGAATTCAAATTAATTAGTCTAATATATTCTAAAATATATAAATATAAATTAGATAAAATTAGTTGAAAAAATTAAAATTAAAATATAATACTTTAGATAATGTCAAAATGTATGATTGAATTTATTTTTAAAAAAAAAACTTTATTTTAGTATTCATCTCAATTAGAGGGGTCATGGAAAAAAACATTTAAAGTCATGATGAGTTCCTATTCAAATCTTATTACATCTACATGAGCCCTTCTTGCGTGCAATGAATAAACTACATAGAAGAAGTACAAGTTGATCTAAATAAATTCAACCTAAAAACTCTCTTTCCGCAAAAAACCTTTATCCCTAAACTCCTTTACTAGGTTGATGCCCTTAGTCCTAACAAGTCGTTGATCGGGGTAATAGAATGAGAAATTATCGTTATTAAAGGGGAAAAAGAAAAAATACATTGAGCTAAACTTAATCTCTGATTCTTCAATAGTTCGTCAAAGTTTAGTAAGGACTCCTTATCCATCCTATGTCCTTTTGTGTCCATTAGTCACCAACGTTTGAAGTAAAATAAAAACGTGCATATTGTTATAAAACAATAAAAGAAGAAGAGTATTGCAGAGAAAACGAGGGAGAGATAATTTTTATTGATTTTGGATGAATTACAATGGAATAGAGCCCCTCTTTTTATAGGAAACAAGTGACTTAGTCACCAAGTAAAATCCCCACAATCTCTCTAAAAATATAGACATTCACCATAAATAAAATACTATTTATAACGCTTCCCCAATGTCTATCCAACAGATAATGTGCCTCGTTAAAACCTTAGCTAAAATAAAACCCAGTGGAAAAAAAATTCTAGTAAAGAAAAAAGAGTACACATATCTAACAATACGCCTTTTGGTTGCCTCATTAAAAACCTTGCAAGGAAAACCTAGTGGGACAAAACCTTGTAAGGGAAAAAGAGTACAACACGTATTAACTCCCCCTGATGAGAGCATCAATTCACATCTTTGAGCCTTCGCATCCCGATCTTGTGCACCATCTTCAAAAGATCGTTGGTAGAGATTTAATAAACAAATCAGCCATATTAATTTGAATGAATATATTACACCTTGAAATCATCACTCTTGATAGATATATAATGTCTTCATATAATGTCGTGGAATGACTTTTCAACATCTCCATAGAGGTATTCTCGCTATTATATTATCGTGCCTATAGTTATAGCCAGATACATATGTGCACAAATTGCACTTAGGATATGGTACTTCGGGATCAAGAATTGTGTGTGCTTTAAGCGATTTAAATCCTTCAAGGATTGTCATATAAGTTAAATCATATAATAGACTTTAATTAGATGCATATCGAGTTTTCATGTCATGCTAGACAAATAAGATATCGAAAATTGGTTGCACATACCATTGACTTTATAATTTCAAGTATTTGAACTACATGTTCAAAACTACATGTCTTTCATATGAAACCAATTCTATTCGAATTGTGTCTCTTTCATTTGGCCAATATTATTGTGTCTGTATTCGACATTCTTAAGATTCTCCTCCATACCTAGCGCTATGATAGATGTCGTCAACGAACATTTTATATCGGTTCCAATATTTTTCATAAAGACATAACATAAAGATCTCTTCATTCATATTTTCAGCTATCTGAATCTCTCTCAGATTTTTTGAAGTGTTATGTCATGTGATCTTCTAGATCACTTGCCTCCTTTATTATGATCATTTGTTCATCTTCTTTATAAAGAAGTTATTTGAACCGATCTGTCTTTACGCTTTAAGCATACCATAGACTTTGTCATTCTAGGACTTAATATGAGCATTTGCAATGAGAATATAATTACTTTCTTTGGGTCAACAAATGCGTCTGGCATGCTTTGCAATATATTACAAATGAATTATCCTTTTGTGAACTTCAAGTTCATATTATTTTATTCGAGGATCTAGATGTACACACACGTAACTTTTTTCTCAACTTTTATTCTGTCTCCCCCTCATGTTAGAAAAACCAACTTTCTTCCTCAATTTTGGAAATCCACCTTTGTGCGTTATGGTGTTAATCAAAATATACATCGCACATCAATATAATAAGATGAAATTAATTGGTTCCGGGCTCTGAACCACTTGTGAGGGAGAATATAGTATACTTCGTTTATAACGTATATCAAACTGATATAGATAACTTTGTTGTCATAAGTAATAGTTTAACTATTAAGTGGAGGCACCCAATAAATTATTTTGTCAAACCAACTGTGATATAAACCAACTTATCAAGATGAACTGTCTCGAATAGAACATCTCAAAATTATGCTCTAAATTAAATTGTTGAGCAATTTACCTCGCAAACATTAGGTTGCAAGTTAATAATAATCGCACATGTAATCATCTCATAGATGCATGTTATGTGGTATACATGGTAGGTGAATGGGCTCATATTCACTTTCGATATTTCCAGCATTTATGGGATTCAATCCCAATTTTAGTTGGCCCGTTAATTAATGAGAACAAGCAACATAAGAGGATTCATAAAGAATTTTCTAGTTCTTTAATATTTACCCATGTGAATTCTCTTTTATTTTTGCACATCATACTTAAAATAACATGGCTAAACCAATTATAACAACTAAATAAATTATCAATATTGATAAAGTTTAGGTTTACACATATTTGTGGCATTCTTTTATTTGTGTAGTACAAACTGGAGAATAAAGCGGGTAACTTTTCACATAAATATTACCCCGCTACAAGTTGTAGTACTAGAAGATATTTAAATCTTTTCTTTATTTATAGTCTCAATATATGATAAAGTTCAGATATTTATAGCACTAGAAGATATTCATTCTTCCAAGAATGAATATGTATTCATAAATCACATACTGTCACATTCACATTATGAATTGACTGTGATCATCTATATGATCTTTACAAAATCTCACGTCAAATCGATGACAAATATTACTTTCACAAAGTGAAGGATTATTTTGAGAATCTTTATTGTTCTCATTACCTCAATGATGACGATTATAATTTCGTCTATTGCCACGTCCACATCCATTGATACATTCATAGTAATAATTTTGTCTTCTTTCAGACTTATCACATACTGCTATCACATTCTCTTAAGGGAATGAGAATAAAGCAAATTCAATGGGACGGGTTTCCACTTCTTTGTCCACAATCATACATGAAGTTTATCATGGCAAGGCATAGAAATTTTACCACTTCGGGTGGTTATAATTTCTTGCAAACTCTATTAGAGTTACAATCAAAGTTTATTGTCTTTGTTTGTATTTAAAATCAAATTATAGAATTTCAAGAAAAATAAAGTAAAATGCTTACCTTAAATCCGGAAATTAATCATGAAGGAAGTTCATGGAATGGACAATCATTATGCTCAATCTCAAAGCTTCTACTCAATTGGATAGAGTCTTGTACTGATAACGTGTTGTGAAACAATAAAAGAAGAAGAAAAGTATTGCAGAGTATAGTAGGGAGGGAGAATTCTTATTGATTTGGGATGAATTACAATGGAATAGAACCTCTGTATTTATAGGAAAAGAGTGACTTAGTCACCAAGTAAAATCCCTACAATCTCTCTAAAATATAGACATTCACCATAAATAAAATACTATTTATAACACACAACACACATATATATATATATTGTGTTATATGTCGAAAACTTTCACAAAACTAATACAAATGGTCTTTTATAAAGAAGAAATTTGCTAGAACTAACATAAAGATAGGATTTTTTTCAAAAATTAGTTGGTAGCGGCTTGAAAATTGGTGCAAATTTAGGAGTCCATCAAACCATTACGTCAAATGTGAAATATTTACTTATGTCCCCATCAGTATGCTTAAATAATTTGGTACCTTCGTGATAACAATCATTCTTCGCGATCGCGAAGCGTGTGCTGGCCAGACCACCACTATCGCGAGCCTCTCCTTGCGTTCGCGAAATTAGGCCAGATAGAGTCAGCTCATTATCACGAGCCTCTCCTCGCGTTCGCAACATTAGGTCAAATAGGGTTAGCTCACATTCGATGTCGTTATCAGTTCGCAAAAGTCGTCAAATTTACCTCCAATTGCCATCGCGCTCTCATTTTCTCGAACATACCACAATTCAGCAAACCAACAATTGCTTTCCAACTTCTAAGGGTTTCAAAATTTGTACAAAACCCTCGGGTCTCAATTCAAACCCTACCAATAAGTCATAAACAATAATCTATATCTATATTATATTAAAAATGGGAATCCCAAAACTAAAAAGATGAATTACTTAAATGCTCTTATTAAATAACCTGCCCCTATTTTAAAAAAAGAATCTAACGCCTAAAAATAATAGCCAATCTAACCTTCATACTCTTTCATTAACAATCACAACCATTCATGTACAAACTTATCTTAATTTTAAATCATATTAAAGAAGTAGATGCAAGTTTTCTTAAGAATTAAGAACAAATTTCTGCACACGGTTGAAAAAAATTTCTGACCAAAATTTTTTGAACGATCCCAAAG